TTTTTATTTTATTTCTTTATGTTATTGTCTTTTCATTCTTATTTCTGTTTATTTCTTCTTTTTTATATTCTTATTTGATGTTTATTTTAATCTTAGACAATTTAGTCTTTCTTTATTTTATATTTTATATTTTATGTTGAATATTTCATTATCATTATATTATTATTTATAATTTCATTTATTATTAATATCATCATTTATATCTTTTTATTTTCTTATTATTATTTCATATTATTTTATTTCATTCTTTATATTATTATTTATTATATTTCTTATTAATTTACTTCATCATATTCAATTATTATTTGATATTTCATTATTTGATTTTGTATTAATGTTTGTGTGTTGTTTCTTATATTCATTATTCATTTCTCTTTCATTTTCATTTAATAAAATAGAAGAATAAAAATAATAGAAGAAGATAAATAAAATAAGAATAAAATAAGATAAAATCAATGATATTGTTATTATATTATTATGTTATTTTAGTTTTGATTTTTAATTATTATATTTTATTTTTATCTTTTATAATCATCATTCATTTCTTCTTTTTGTCATTTCCTCTTTTATAAACATCACTGAATTTATTCAATTTCTATTTTATTTTCTATATTCTTGTTGTTATTTTATTTAGTTCATCTTTTATCATTTGTTATTTCTTGTTTATTCATGTTTGTTGTTTCTTTTATTATTCTTTATTTTATGATGTGTTATTCTTATTTATCTTTCTTATTATTGTTTAAATAGAAAATAAGAATGAATAAAGAATAAGAAATAACCTAAATATGTTGATGTATTTTATCATTTCTTTATTTCTTTATTATTCTTATTTCTATTATCTTATTCATTTGATTCATAATGAATTAATTCAATGAAATAATACAAATAAATTGTTTATTTATTCATTTTATTTCTATTTTATTATTTCTTTTATTATTTATTAAAAACACCCTCATTGGGTGTGAAAATTTCATTAAATGAAATAAAATAAATCAACATTGAATTATGTCCATTTTTAATTTATCATTTCATTCATTGGCAGATGAATGAAATGTTCATATTCTTCATTGATTTGTTTTTTATTATTTTTTATTTCATTTTCAATTAATCAAGATTGAATCATTTCATTTCAATTACTATAATTCGTTTTGGTGTGAAACGATTCGGATGTTGTTTTCCACAAAATGCATTTGATATTCCTTCATATTCAAATGAGGATTGTTTACAAGAAGATGTTGTTTTATAATTTTCTTTATAAACAAGAATGTCATTACCTCCAAATACAAATAGTCCCACACTTGATTGGTTATATAACCAAAATGCATATTGTGGTTGTTTAATATCAAATTTCATCATTCTTTCCATTCTTCCAGTTGATTCCAATGAAAATACAAATGATTTTGAATCATATATCCATTCATCAACTTTATCAATTTTCTCATTAACATATCCTCCAAATTTATTTTCTTCTTCATCTTCAATAATAATTATTATATGTTCTTTATTCATTACTCTTTCTCCAAATACTGATGTATTTCTATTCCAATCATCAATATCTGAATCAAATAGTAGATGTCCTACTTTTCTATTTGTCCATTCTTCTAGTTGTTCGATTTGATGTTTTGGTGGATATTTCTTTTCAACTCTCTTACTTTCCCAACATGCTCTAATATCTTCTAACTCTTTTTTATATCTGTTTGTACATCTTTTATTTTCTTCAATTAGTTTATTAATTCGTATTTCTTGAGTTTCCATCACTTTTGTAATGATAGTGTCAACTTGTTCTGATAGTATCTCTTTATCTTCATATATAATTTTATTAATTCTTTGATAAACAATGTTCAAATTATCTATCATCATCATTCCTTCTTTCAGTTTATTTCTAATTATTTCATTTTTTCCAATTATTTTTTCTTTTCTTTTATAAATTCCTTCTATTCTTTTAATTCTATCTTCGGGACTTTCTCCTTCAACATCACTTATTTCTTCTGCAATGTTATTCATCCAACTCTCATTATAATCTATTGCACTTTTCATTACTTCTTCAATTAGACTGTTAGCATTATTACATGTTTTTTGTAATTCATTAAATATACTATTTCTTTCGCCTTTGTTTATTTTCATTCTTCTTTTATTTTTCTTTGTTCTTGAGTGTGTTTTTATTCTTTTTATTTTCGTTTAAACATCATTCATATTCAAGTTTTAAATATCAGTTCGACGCAATTATTTATTAGATCTTCTATTTTAATAATTTGTTATAAATAGAATATACTAAAATATATTATTATATTATTATTTATTAATAATTCATAAATAACAAATGAAAAGAAGATAAAAAAACAAGAGATGATAATCAGACAAGAAATACAACAAAAGAAAGAAATAGAAATTTAAAAGAAGTGATGTACTGATTTGTAATTAATTTGTTGAATAAGAAATTATATAAGAAATTAAGAAATGAACAAATAGAAAATATAATAAAAGCAATAAACATCAATGTCAATAATGAAAAAGAATATATTAAATATAATAAAATATCACATAAAATAAAAGAAAGCACTAAACGGTACATTAAAGTGAAATTAAATGATATAATAGAATGAAGAGTAGAGTGTAATTCAATAATAATAAAAACATCATATTAAAGAATAACTCTACTGAAATTGATGAAGAATATTTTAACACTCTCATCAATAAAGTAAAAGAAATGAAAGTAGAAAATGTATCAATATTAATTACTATTTCAAAGAAAAGAAACTAATGAAATAATAAAAAAGATGAAAAGAAACACAAGTTTAATGAGAAGAAGAGAATGAAATATATAAAATAGTTGATGGAAATGAATTAAATTAAAAAGAAAGTAGTAAAAGAAATCAAAACAATAATTATAAAAATTAGAAAGATAGTATTTAAACAAAAAGTAATTCAATAAAATATAATGAAAAGTATTGGTAGTTTATTCAATTTATTAATTTGTACGAATAATATCCAGCAATAATTTTTATAATAAATATAACAAAGTTAAACATGTAGTATTTAAAATCTCCAATAGAATAAAATTTGAATATGAAGAAACCAAAGACATTTAATAAAAATTAATACTCAATTCAATTGTAAAAATAGTTTTATTGTTTATTTTAAAATGTAATGACATTTTTATGAAAAAGATGTATAAATTGACTGAATTTACAATATATTAGAGTTAAGTTAATAAAATTCAAATGAACATTGTTAATATTGAAGTGTTATATTCATTTATTTCTATTATTGTTTTTTTTTACAAATTTGTTGATTTATTTTCAATTGTTTCTTCTGAAACCTGTATTTTATTATTTTGTTATATTATTTGTGTATATTGATGATGGTATAATTCATGAAGGATGTAATAACAACATATCATAATTTTGGTTTATAATGGAAAATGATGAAAATAAATAGGAAATTGAAACGTTAAATAACGTCGTAACAATTATGATAAAGGTGTTAACTATTAATGTTTGATATTCGTTCAAATAAAAATATTAAAAAAGTCATCAATTAGAAGAATAAAAACGTGACAACAACAGAAAGAATAACAAATATACATGAAGTACCATTAAGGTTTTTATGACTATCAAAACTGTCATCTGTTTTGCTTTCTGATGAACTGTCAGAACTACTTGTTGCTTTGTTGTCTGTTACTTTATTTCCATCTTCTGGTTTTTGTTGATTATTCTTTCCATCTTCTTTGTTTGGTTCATTATTCTCGTTATTTTTTGGTGGTTGTGGTTTTTCATCTTTGCTACTTTTTTGGTCAGTATCTTTTTGTTCTTTCTGTTTTTCTGGTTCTTTTATTTCTGGTTTAGGTTTTTCTCCTTGTTCTTCTTGTTTTGATGGTTGTGTTTCTTTTTGTGGATTTTGTGATGGTTGTGGTTTTGGGTCATTGTTTGTTGTTTCAGGTTGTTGTGGTTTGACTGCTGGTTGTTCTTGTCCTGTTGGTGTATTTGTTGTTGTTCCTGGTGATGATTGTGCTTGTTGCTGTTTTGTTGTATCTGTTGAAGTTTGTTCTGTTGGGGAAGCTCCTGCTGATTGTGCTTGTTGTGTGTTTGCACCTTGTTGTGTTGCTGTTGGTTGTGTATCTGTTGTGTGAGTTTGTTGTGTTCCTTCAGTTGCTTGTTCCTTTTGTGATGCGTCTGTATTTCCAGCTGCTGATTCTTTGCCTTCTGTTGATACTGAATTTTCTTTTGGTACTTGTGCTACTGAAGGAGATTCTGCTGCTTCAGGAGCTTTTGGACTTGCTGGTTGTGGTACTGTTGATGTTACCTTTTCTGGCTCCTCACTTTTTAAATGTGTTTTATATAAATTGTAGATTCTTTTAAGTTGGTTTGCATATTTATGTGTGTGAATTACTTCTCTATTTCTTTCTTCTTTATTTACAATACTTTCTGTTGCATTAGTAATTACACAATAATTAATAGAAATATAAACATTGAATGAAATGTATGTAAGTTTTTCTCTTTAAATACTCTCTTCATTTTCTATTATTATCATTTACTTTCTTTTTACTTCATAATGACTCAATCACTCATTTTTCATTTCATTATATTGATGTATTATTGTATTTTGAACTTCAACAATAAATAGAATGAAATGAAATATTAAATTAAAATTCAATTCATTTTTGTAATTTAATCAACAAAATTAAATAAACATTAAATTTAATAAATAAATCATAAACAATAACAACAATAATGAATAAAATGAATGATAATTTCAATTCATAGTTCAAATCATTGTTATTTAAAATTACAATATTGTTATTAATTATCTGTTCATTAAATAACCAAAGTATCGTTAATAACTATTTTAAAGAATAATAATTAATAATAGTTGAATTATTGCATATTTTAATAATTAATTAATTTATTATTTTCTTTTTGTACTTAATTGAAAAATATAATTTAATTTATATTGTATTGTTTCTTTAATATAATTCATAAAAATTCGAATCAATATGTTGTAATTTGTACTTAATTAATTAAATTATTTACTGAAAACAACTTAAATGTTTATTGGTTATAGTTTACTTCATTCTCATGAGATAATTTATTTATTAAAAATAATTAGAATTTTTATTATTCAACATTTGTTTATTTTTATTTGTGACAGTACATTTATTTATATCTGTTATAATCAATATCATAGCTCATAGTTATTATTTCTTTATATATTCATTCATCATTATTTGAATTATTATTTATTATTACTTGCTTTATTTTCTAAAGAATTTATCATCTGTTATTTATAATGAAACAATGAAACTGATTATTGAAATTTCTATTGTTTGTTGTAATATATTATAAGAATTGTGTACTAAACTCGAGAATGTACTTATAGAACATTATATAAGTGATAACAAACATGAATTATTAATTATCTTCATGTCATATTCAAATTCATGTTACTTAATAAATTATTTATTGATTCTATTTTTCATTGTCTATTGATTCTATCTTTTTGTATTTCATAAATTTATATATTTAGTATTATTGTTTATTCTTACTCTTTTACCATTTCTAATTTCACATTTGTTTGGTATATTACTATATTATTCATAGCTTTACATCAATAAATAATATGATGTAAACAACAGCAAATGATTAAAGACTTAATTAAAACATACTATTATTTCAGTAATTCTATGTTACCTTATTCATGTCATCACAACTAATGATAAACATTAGTTCATTTTCAATTCAAATTCTATCTTTCAATACAAATCAAGAAGTAATCAACACATGATAGTATCAATGCAATATCAAATAACATTATTATCAACTTAATGGTGGAATACACATGAATGGTATTATAAGAATATGAATAAATTAATTAAGATTGCAGTTATAATTCATATAGAATAGGAGATGAAAAAGAAAACTCCTTCAAAACATTAATTCAAGTAAAGTTGAATAATTAAAACCAAAATAAAATGTATATTGACTTAAACTTGACACTTTAAAAGCAAGTAATAAAAAACAATATAAGAATAAAAACAAGTACAATTTGATTGATTAAGACAACAAATATTGACTAATGGCAATAAAGAAGGAAGAACAAAGACAAGTAATAATAAAAAAAAGAAAATAAAAAAAGAAAAATAAAAAATAAAAAATGTTCATTATAAAAATAGTAATAATTAAACAAAACCATCTTAAATAGTTCATTTAATAATACCATGTCACAAGAACAACTTATTCAATTTGCCACTCAATTTGTTAATGTATTTTATAATGCATTTGACACTAACAAAGCAAATTTGGCTAATTTCTTCCAACAAATGTCTACATTAACATTTGAAACAAGTACTGTTCAAGGTCAACAAGCTGTTCTTGAAAAAATCCAATCACTTCCATTTAGTTCTACTAAACATGTTGTCAGTGTTATTGATGCACAACAAATCCCAAGTAATGGAGTAACTATGGTTCTTATTAAAGTTATTGGTAAATTATCAATTGACAATGAAAACCCACATTTATTTACTGAAACATTTGTACTTGCTCAAAACAATGGTAATTGGTTTGTTTTAAATGATATTATGCGACTTGCTGATATTTAAAATTGATTTTTGATTTTTATTTCAACGTTTTTTTTAACGTATTTAAATGAAGTAAAAAAACATATTGAAGAAATTAAAATAAAATACTTTCATAATTGACAAGATTAATACATTAACATATTATTTTATACTTATTACTAAAAATTGAATTAAAGCTCTTCTTTGTTTTTGTGTATATCTTCATTTTGTTCTATTCCATTACTATCAAAATCTTCAGAATCATCAAACTCATTTTCTTCATCGTAATTATCTTCATTCATTTGTTTCAATAAGTCTTCAAAAGTACTATCATTACTTCCATCTTCAATGTCATCAATATCTTCTAAATCAGCATTACTTAATCCTAATGACTTCATATAATCATCATATTGTCCTTGATATTCTTGTTCTTTCAATCCTTCTTCAGTAACTTCTATATGTCCATTATCTGTACCACCACAAACTTCAAGAATCTTTTCTGCAATAGCATCTTGACTTAATTGTATGCCATCTTTAATTGAAATTAATGTTTTATTTTCAGGAAAGATTAACACAATAGGAAGATCATCAAAGTCATATTCTGGTGGTAATTCATCTTCATCTAAATTCATAAAATAAGTTTTAGCATCAGGAAGTCTTTTTCTCAATGGATCAACCCAAACTTTTCTAAAGTATTGTGTTGTACAACCAACAATAACTACACATTTATCTTTATGAATATATTCTTGAAGGTCATTTGAAACTATTTCATCTTCTCCAACATCTTCTCTCTTTCTTGATTGTAAATATGGTTTAGCTTCTCCATTAAATACATCATGAATAAATTTATTTACAGACTCTTTAGTTAATGTTCCATTAAAAGGATAAGACGTTCTTTGATTTTTGTGAAGAATAGCAATACTTGGTGCTGTTTTTAATCCATATTTTTCTAATTGTTCTGGAAAAGAATGAATATCAAATTTAGTAACAACCATTTTGTTATGATATTTGATTGCTATTTCACTAAATAATTGATCATATTGTTCATTTAATGTTTGATTGAAAAATACCCATAATATATATCTATTATTAATATCATGAATGTACATTGGATCAAACACTGAATAAAGTGGAAATATACCATTTGATATAAAAGTAATTAAATCTGTAGAATTATCGGATTCAAAAAAATGTGTTTGATTTCCAATTCGATGTCGAATTTTAACTGTATATTCTTTATTATTAAACTTTGAAACAAATTCATCACCAATAGCACTTACAAATAAAACTTCATCACTCGCCTGTATTTCAGCAATTGCTTTATATTTCATAATCATATCAATATTCTTTTCATATGTAAATAGTACAACAACAATTGGTGTTTCTGAATTTAATATTTTATCTAATTCTTCCATTGTTTTAACATCTGTTGTAATTGGTAACATCATTTGAAATACCCAATTCCTAACCATTGATGTTTGCCATGCTTCAGTATATTCAACTGGTTTTTCATTTGGTCTTAAGATAAATAGACTTGGTTCATTTTGTGGTTTAAGTGTCTCTACAACACTATATTCAGTCACTGAACTTATCAAATTTGGAAATTCCTCTGCCAAACTGACTTGAGTTTTATTAACAATACGTTGTAATTGGTTACATTTTTCATCAAACACTTTACATGCAACTAATAATATAGGTATTTGTGGATTTGATAATATTGTTGCGTCAAATGGAGGTAATACATTTCCAATGACTACTTGACTAATTAATAATACAAAAAATAACATAAGTCTTTCAAAGATCTTTTTGTTTTTTTTGTTTTTTTTGTTTTTTTTGTTTTTTTTTTTTTGAAATAGATTTTGTGTTATTTTCATAAATAACGTTATTAATAACAAATTAGAAAAAGAAGAAAGTCTCATTCATTTAGAAAGATAGTCACTAAAAATAGAGAAGCGAAAAAATTGCTCAAAATCTGATTGAATGAAAAAACTATTTGAACGACTGATACTCAATAATTCTGTTAGTAGGAAATAAATTGAATGAAGGTAATTGATATTTTATTGTTACCAACAAGTAACTTTTTTAGATATTGTCTTACAGGATTTTTGTATAATTATTCAGTATTTTTCTATAATATTGTAATTCCATTTCTTGCAGATGATTATGGTGGATCATCATTAGAGTTAGCAGCAATGATATCAATTGGTACTGGATGTGTTTCATTTTTCTCACCATTCTCAGGAAAGATAGCAGATAAAACAAATCCATTTATTATTATGCGTTTAGGAATATTAGCATTTATCATTGCATTATTTTTTCCATTGTTTATTAAAAACAAAATGTGGGCGTTATATGTTTCTATGATAATTTATGGAATTGGAGGTGGATTTTTTTGGGCTGTTATTGTTGGTTCTGTAGGGAAAGAAGCACCTAAAGGACAAGAAAATAGAAGAAGTGCTATTTTTTCAGTCTCATGGAGTATTGGAAAAGCTTTTGGATATTTATTTGGAGGATTATTGAAAGGAATTCTTGGAATTAAATCATTTTATATTGCACTTGCATGTCTTATTACAATAGAAATTATTTATCCAATAAGATTACCAAAAGAAGTGAGAGAGAGATTAAAATCAGAAAAACAAGAGAAAGAAAAAAAAGATAATCAACATTCAACTCAATTAAATGATATTCATATTGAAATGAATGACTCTCATATTATTGATAATTCAACAACTGGAAGAAATGAAAATGAAATAATTAATAAAGAAGAATTAAATTTCAAGAAAAAAGATGAAAAAGTACGTTATAAATGGGAAGGAGGTGAATATAAAAATAAAACATACATTTATATTGGTTATATCTTCAATTTTGCTATTAAAGGAACAAATTGGGTTATTTCATCTCAATATATCAAACTTGTTAAAGACTTTGATATTAAAATTAATTTATTTGGTGCTAATCCAAATGAAATGTTTGTTGGGGTATTTTTCTTCTGTTTATATCTTGCACAAACAACTTCATTAGTTTTAATGGCTCTTACAACTCAATGGACTTATAGAAGGTCAGTTATTTTACTTGGATTTATAGTCACTGTTATTCTTTATTTAGTTATGGCACTAAGTAATTGTAATTGGTTGTTGTGTATTCTCTCTTATATTGCTGGTTTATCTTCTGGATTTGCTAATCAAACTTCAGTTTATTATTCTCTAAGAGCATCTACAAATAATAAAGGATTATTTGTTGGACTTTCAGAAATAACTTCAGGAAGTGGAATGACTATTTTGCCATTAGTTGCTGGATTACTAGCAAAAGCATATAATGATAACCATGTTCCATTATACATCAATATATGTGTAATAATTATGTGTATTATTGTATTTGATATTATTTATCGATTGATGTATTTCATTAATTCTCGAAGAAATGCAAAAAGGCTGAGTAGAGAAGAACAACCCACTCCATTGTCTACAGTCACTCAACCCCAAAAACCAAACAATACTTCTGATGAAGCTGATGACATTCAAATTCCTGTTGAAATGGTTCCAACACCACTTGTAGGAGAACAAGACACTTCTCCAAGTGAAATTTCAAGGGATGATAATCAGTCTTTAGATTCTCAAGAAAAAGAATGATAATCACACAATTGTTTTTTTATTTATTTTATTTTTTCAAGTGTTGAAAATGAAGAAAGACATAATTGTATTAAACTTTTGAGAAGTAAGAAATACAAAACAAACAATAACTATACTTTTATAGCTAATTGAAATTAAGACTATGATGACATCAAGTGAATAAATAAGATAAATTAATTGACATTTATTTAAAAGTGTCTTACTATTAAATACAATGATATATGATTATTTATGACTTAAATAAAACTAAAAGATGACATTAATTCACAATACTATTTGTGAATTACCTAATTTCAAAAAATATAGTCTATCAAATATAAGAGAAATAATAAAGATAAGTAGAAAATGATTTGTTGAATGTAAATGATTATTACTGAAATAAAATGAAGAATAAAAGAAAGAATTGAAACCATTAACTAATGAATAATATAAAACAAGATGATACAATCTTCATTAATGTGTTTATTAGGATTTCAATGATTCCAATAAACAAATAATGTAACAAAGATAGGAATTTAACAAAGTTGTTTTATTGACAATCGATTTAACATTGCACTTGATCGTTTGTGTGTTTGAATTGAAGATTGTTGTCTAACCCATCTATTACTACGACTAGCAATTGGACTTCTTGAAGTTGTAGGTTGTTTTAATAATTTTTCATTAAAAGTATCTTTATATAATGTGTGTGGATTCATTACTTGATCATAACGACTTTCAATAAATTTCATTCCTAAATCCTATGTATAAAATGAGTTATATTCATTAATATTAATTAAACCTAAAAGAATAAAAACAAACAGGAAATAATTCTTTTGCATAAGTTAACATATTACTAAATGCTATAAAAACTAATTGATGAGAAGATTGAGTAAGATCATTGATAGCACTTTTTCTAATAAAACCTGGTGCAATACAAATAGACATATTTTGTATATTCATTTTACTTGTTGGATTATTAATAATTTTAATACATAATGCTATTAATGACTCAATAAATACTTTATTTTCTGATGGAACACTTTGATACACTGACCTAAACTTCATTTTCCATTGAATTGGACTTGATGCATATTGTCCTGTTATAAACATTAATTGATCAAATTGACTTTGTGGCCAAACTGGTTCTGTTGTTTCTCTAAGATATTTTTTAACAATAGCAGATAATAAAATATAATCTGTTAATTGAAAATCAATAATTCCAATATATTTTACATATTCAACCATTTCAGTTACTCCTGCACATTGTCTAAATGCTCCTTCAAGTTCTTTTTCATAATATAATTTATACATTATTTTTTCAAAATATTCTGGAAGAACAGTATTTTGTCTATTTTCTTGTTTTAAAATTTGGTTTATTGGTTGGGTATAATCAAGTGAAAGAAGTTTTTTTCTATCAGAAACCAACTACAAATGAATATTCTTTTCTTTCTTTATATTTCTTCTTATGAAAGAAAAACAAACTTTATCACTAACAAGAATGAACGGACGTAATTTGTTATCATCAAAAACTTCATTTTGAGAAATAAAATGACAATTATTTTTAGCATCAATAAGAAAATTAATAAAACATCGATATGTTTGAATATTAAATATTTCTTGTATTTGTTGTTTCTTAATACGTTCATATGTACTAAATTTTTCTTTCCAATCCCATGGTCCTTTTAATTTATCACTTAGTTTTCTATAATTTTCTGCCTATTTCAATGAACTTTATTTATTTATTATTAAATATATTATATAATTTAACAAACTACTAATCCTAACTCCGTTTTCAAATTGACTTGAAAATTCATAGTTAAATTAAGGAGTGATGAAAATGAAGCTGGTGCATCATTTTGTGGAAATGATGATATGATACTTTCAATAATCTTTTCAAATTCACCCATAGCACCTTGAATTGTTTGAATAACATTTCCAACTTGAGAAGCTTTTTGTGCTAACTCAATTGTTTTATTATATAAATTAAAATCATATTTTTGATAAGGTGAGTCAACTGTCATTACTTGGTTTGATATAACATAGATCTTTATTTTCTTAATTATTTTCTATATTCTATTTCTAATGGCATTTGATTCTTTTTATTACCAACTCCTAGTTGATTAGGTTGTATCTTTCTTATTTTTATTATTTCCTTTTCTCTTATTATTTTATTTTTATAATAACTGTTGGTTTATAATAACATAAATTAATAACATAAATATTTAATTTGAACTATTAATTTACTTTTTTGCTTTCTGTTTTTCCTTCTCTTTCTTTTTCTTTTCTTCCTCTTTTTTCTTTTTCTCTTTTTCCTTTTCTTTTTTCTCTTTTTCTTTCTCTTTTTTCTCTTTTTCTTTCTCTTTTAATTCTTGTTTTTTTCTTTTCTCTTTTTCAGCTTTTTTCTTCTCTTCCTCTTTCTTCTTTCGTTCTTCTTCTTCTTTCTTTTTCTTTATCTCTTCTTCTTTACGTTTTTCTGCTTCTTGTTGTTTCTTTAGATTATCACTTGTATTACTCTTCTTCTTAATTTCATCTTCTTTCTTTTTTTTCTCTAGTTCTTCTTTCTTTTTGGCTTCTTCTTCTTTCTTTTTGACTTCTTCTTCTCTCTTCAGTCGTGCAGCTTCTTCTTGTTGTTTGAGTTTTTCTTCTTCTTGTTGTTTGAGTTCTAATGCCTTTTGTTCTTCCTCTTTCCTTTTTTGTTCTTCTTCTTCTTCTGCAATTCGTTTTGCTTCTGCCTCTCGTTCATCCTTTTCAAGTTGATATTTCAATAAAATGAATGGTTCTACTTGTTGATAAAGAAACTTAGTAACAACATACCCAACAATCCATCCCCTCAAGTCAGCACATACAATAACCTCAATATTTGTTGATTCATTTGGGACTTCATCATACACTCTAATTCCTATTTTTTTATATCCTCTCACTAACTTTTCATTGTAAGTATTTTCTTTTTCACTATTCACACTAGAAATGACAATGTATTGATCTCCTTCAATTTTATAATTTGTTTGAACAAATAAAAAATCACGTGGTGTAACAAAACTTCCATAAGGGAGTTGCTGAATTTCATAATTTAAATAAGAATCATCACTTTGAAGTAATGTTTTCATTTCTGTGATATTTGGTTCTAATGATTTCATCAGAGGAATATCAAACAAAGACTCAACAACAAATCTTTTTGGTTTTTTTATAAAAATTACATATCGGGCAAATCGTTGATTGTTTTCATTTGGTAAAACACAATATTGTAACACACCATCTGGTGATGCTTCAAATTCCCATTTCTTTTTACTCATCTGTCTCATCCAAAGTTGTAATGGTTTAACCATTCGATCAAGTTCTATCTCATTATTTACATAAGGAATATCAGGGATTTCAACACTCATAACTGGCTTAGTAGTTCTATTCCAGCAACATTATTTCTTCTTTTTCTAAAAATTATCATCTTTTCCTTAAATCATAAAACCCTGAAAACAGAGCTAAAGTCTTTATTAAACAAAGACAGAACTTTTGATTTTAATGCTCTTTTACTTACTCATTGCGCTTGCTTCAGCCATTGACTATTACCAAGTCCTTGGTGTCTCAAAACAAGCAACACAATCTGAATTAAAGAAGGCATATCGTACATTATCATTGAAATACCATCCTGATAAACCAACTGGAGATAAAAAAAAATATGAACAAATTAACAAAGCATACGAAGTTCTTTCAGATGAAACTCAAAGAAGAAGATATGATCTAGGTGGAGAAGAAGCTTTAAAGAATCCTGATAGACAAAACGGATTTGGTGGATTTAATCCATTTGGGGATATTTTCCAAGATATGAGACCACACCAAAAACATCAAATGCCTAATGTTGAAATTGTGTTAGATGTTACATTAGAAGATTTATATAAGGGTAAAACTATAGAGGTATTACATAGAAAAAGACAATTATGTCATCATTGTCATGGTACTGGAGGAGATACACCAGATGATGTAAAAGAATGTCCAGTATGTCATGGAAGTGGAGTTAAAACGGAGACAAGAAGAATTGGACCAGGTTTTATTCAACAAATTCAAAGTACTTGTGATAAATGTGGAGGAAAAGGAAAGATATATGGAAAAGTATGTCATGTTTGTAATGGAAAGAAAGTTGAAGAAGGAGAAACTACTATTTCAGTAACAATAAATAAAGGGATGAGAGAAGGAGAAGTTATTAACTTTGAAGGATTTGGAGATGAAAAGCCAGATTGGAAGACAGGAGATGTTCTATTTAAGATTCACACCATTGAACATCCTAATTTCACACGTAGATGGGATGATTTAAGAACAACAATGCATATTACATTAAAAGAGTCATTAATTGGATTTACTAAAGAAGTAAAACATCTTGATGGTCATATAGTTAAAGTAGAAAAGAAAGGTATTACACCATATGGAAGTGTTATTACTATAGAAAATGAAGGTATGCCAATTAAAATGAAAGAAACAAAAGGAAAATTATTTGTTGATATAGTTGTTGATTATCCAAAATCACTTAATAATCAACAACAAGAAGCAATTGAAAAATTATTTTAATTAAGGAGAATAATAATTCAATGATTTTATTTATTTTTTTTCAAATAATTCATTAAATGAGAAGTCTTTTTCATTAATTTCTTGTTGATTAAATGTTGATGGATTTTCACAATAAAATCCTCTTTTATCAAGGAGATTTTCTATTTGTGTTTTCTTAAATCCTTCAATATTTATTTCTTCTAAAAGTTGATTTGTAAGATCATAAAATTCGAGTGTTGTTTTACTTGAACCAATTTTAATAACCATAGGGCTATTAAATAAGTTAATTTATACTTTAAATTAGTTTTGAAATTATACAAACTAATTGGGATATTTACTATTAATAAAGGCACTAATTCCTGGTTCAGTTCTTAATGTACATGTTGGTGGAATATTTAATACTGCTCTAAAATATTTCTTAACATCAGCTTTAATAAGAATATCTTGTGAAAATGCAAAAGTGAAGAAAAATATGAAAATAATCTTCATTTTATATTTTGTAGTTTAAAATTTTTAAAATTTTATTAAAAAAAACAAAAAATAAAAAATAAAATAAAACAAAATTACATTTTTAAAATTTTTAGATGTTTCAAAATTTTATCAAGGAAATAATTTATTTTTAGAATGAAGATTTGTTGAACATTTTTTATTCTGGTAGTTAATGAAGAGATATAAACTAACAAAATGACATGTTTTTATGAAACTAATATTGTACTGTCAACATCTATTCAATATTCAAAAGATAGAAAATGAAACTATTAATTATTTTTATAAACAGGGATTGAAACGGTATTAAATTAATTGCAAATCCAAAATAACGACATAGCAAATAAAAATAATTTTTGAGAAAGGAAAAAATTTAACTTTCATGACTTAAACTGTTTTTTAAAAATAATTTTGAATAAAACAGGAGTTGCTTCAATCTATTTTGGTAAAACCCAGTTTAATGGAAGGAAGGGTTGTATTTAATCAGAAGAACTCCCAAAAATTAATCACCTAATTGAGTTATGGAACGAAACATTATCTTTCCTGTTAGAATCAGAAAGGTAGGTAAAACAAAGTCAATTAATATTGTTTATAATATGAGACATGAAGATCTTTTTACTCAAGAATTTGAAGAAAATGAAGAATGTGATTTAGAAGTAAAATCTATTTTATCTGGTTCATTTGATTTTATTAAGAATCATTTCATTATTGAAGGAAAAGAAAATGTTCTTGATCAAGTTGTTGTTAACACAGACTATCCATAAATAAAGATAGTCATGATAATATTGTTTTTTTTTTCTCTGCTAAAGAATGTAAATTAGTTTTTCTTAAATTTCTTTTTGTTCCTTCTTTTCTTAAAATTTATTCTATTAAATTAAATTAAAAAAAATTAACAATACAATTAACACACTCTGTTCATATAAACAGGAGAAAAACGTTTGGCTCCTTCTTGGTAAGACATTTCATTTATTAAACATGGCTCTAATTGGTCTTTTGATGACATCCATATTGTTTGTAATTTTATGAGAAAAGAAGTACTTTTCTCAGTTAATTGAACATAAAGTCCTTTTGACTCTAAAGAATCAAGTGCTTTTTCAAATGAATATTCATATTCTTTCATAAGATAACCAATAACAAAAGGAGTTGTTTGGTCAAGTTTATCAGTAGATACAATCACAACTGACTTTTCATTTCTTTTATTTTCTTTAATAACAGTGGAGATAACATCAATATACTTTTCAAAAATACCAACACTATAACAATCAGGATTAAAATGGGTATAATTCACATGGACAGGAAGATATTCTATCTTTTGACCTCCACATGAAACAATAGTTCCTATATTATAGGATTTATAAAATTTACTATTCATAACATTATTAATATTTGCTACAAAAATACAATCTTCAATTTCAGTAACTTGATTCTTTTCACTAAGTATTGGATAATAAACTGACTGACTATTTCCCATGTTAAGTTTATTTTGAATAAATCAGTTCTATCTTTTATATACAATACCTAGGATCTAAGTAGTTAGGGGTAAAGTATAAATTATCTTCTTTCTTATTCTATATAATCTTTTTCAATTAAAGAATAACTTAAATACATGTTATTAGTCATAAATAATAACAAAAATGTGATTTTAAACAAGGAAAATGGGGTATTAAAAACATTTTTTTGTTTGTTCACAAAATGGATGTTTCTTGTTTATAAGAATTTAATGATTAATAATTTATTAATTTTGATGAGTTAAGGTATTAGAGTTATTTCATTTTTTGAATCTTTTAAAAGTAACATATCAATATAGTGCACATTGTTACTTACAGAAGTTCTTTTTGATTCTTATTTAAGACAATCCTTTAAAAAAGAGTTTGTTAACATTGCTAATTAAATGCAAAAATTGAACATATTAATCTTTTTACTTTTACATTTTTTGAATCTCTAAATAACACTTTTTAAATATTGTTTTTTAAAACAAAACAATAAAATAAATAATTAAAAAGTTGTATTTAATTTTTTTGTGTTTGGTTTTTCAAAGAAGGAAAAACAGTCTTTCTTATTAGTGGAAGAGCAACAACTAAAGCAGCATTCATACGATGTTCCAAAGTATTATTACAAACAATCTTATCACCATAAGAGGCAATTGAAACACCACCAATAACAGTTAATTCTAAGAAATTTTTATCATCAACTTGAATTTTTAAAGAAGAATCCATTTTCTTAACAACGTCAATAGCTTTTTTAACTTTGTCTAATTCAGATTTTAAACATCTAACAGTAACTTCTTTATCTTCAACTTTTCTAATTCCTTCTTGAATTAATTTGACTAATAAATCTTGATACGTATCACTTTTAACTGATTCAGTTAATTTGTTTCTAACACTTTCCATTAATGATTGAATATGTTTATCTTCAGCTTCAAGTAATTGAAGTCTTGATTCAGATAGTTCTTGTGAAAAAGTAATTTTCTTTTTAACTTCAGCTTCTTTTACTCTTCGTTGGTAATCAGCCTCTAACTTATTTCTTTCTTTTTCAATGTATGTTGCTTTTTCTCTTTCACATTCTTGTTCAGCATTTGTTCGAATTTCTTGTTCTTTTGTTTTTGCTTCAAACTCAATAAACTTAACCATTTGTTGGAGTTGTCTTGAGACTTGGCTGTCAGTCATGTAGTTTTTGTTTAATATTTTCCAGTACTTTTTGTTTGTTCTTTTGATATGTTGTGTTTTTGCACTTTTATTCAACACCACTTTTCTCAACAAAAATTAACTTCAAAAACCATATTTACTATTCTTTTTAATTTTTTATTATTTCTTTATAGTTTTTAAACCAATTCCTTTCACAAAAAAAAAAAAAACAATAGAAATAAGAAAAAGTATTTATTGAATGGGTGTTTGGGTCTTAAGGGAAGGGAAAACAGTCTTTCTTATTAATGGAAGTGCTATAGCTAATGCTTGGTTCATACGATGTTCTAATGTATTATTACAAATAATTCTATCACCTAATGATGCAACAATAACACCACCAATAACAGATTCTTCTAAATAAAACATAGTGTCAATATCAATTTTCATTTTTGGTTGTTCTTTATTTATTTGTTTAACGGCCTTTTCAACTAATTTAATATCACGTTCAACACACCGAATAGTGATGTTATTATCTTGTAATTTATTAATTCCTTCTTGAATTAATTTCATGAGTATTTCTGGATAATTACTTTCTTGTGTTGATTTTATTAATTTATCACGTACTTCTGTCATTAATGATTGAATATGAATATCTTCTGCTTTTAATAATTGAAGTCTAGCAGCAGAAAGTTCTTGTGAATGTGAGATTTTCTTTTTTGTTTCTGCCTCTTTAAGTTTCTTATTAAATTCTAAATCTATCTTTGCTTTTTCTTTTTCTATTATACTATTTTTTTCTTTTTCACTTTCTTGATTAGCACTTGATATAATCTCATCTCTCTTTGATTCTGCAGATTGGTGAATATATTCAATTTGTTTTTTCAACTGAGCCTCCTTTCTTTCAACTGACATCTCTTGTCATTTTTAAGTTTTTTTCCTAAGTTAAATTTGTTTTTGTTTACAACCAAAGAAAATAAAACAATTTTCTATTTCTTAATTATTTTTTATTATTATTATTATCTTTGAATAACCTTTCCTTTAAAAAATTATCAATTAAAAACCATCTTGACAACACATCTTTAATTGTTGTTCAATGCTTTGTATCCATGCACAACCATCTTGTTCGCTCTTCTCTTCATAAACAGAATTACTGTGAAATTTAAAGAATGCATCACTTCCCCACATATTATAGATAGAATCAAATTCATTTTGTAATGAATATAAAACATTCATTACTGTTTTTCCATATTTTGTTTTATGTAATGGAGTGTCTTGGTTTGGTTCTTCATAACAAATCCTATTATAAAGCTCAACAACACGAATAAATCCTTTAGAATTAGGATATGATGGATTTTGAGTAGCAAAATCATTTACTTGTTTCATAAGAGTCTCATAATTATCTGGAACATTAATATTATGATTAAGTAATTCATTTAAAACAACACCTAATTTCTTAATATAATTTTCATTAAACACTTTAACTTTCTCAATTTGTTCTTTCATAAATTCTTCAAAACTTGGTTCTTCATATAAACAGAATGCAAACTTATCTAAAATCATTTTGTTACTATAAATTGTTTCAACTGATTTAGGACATTTCATAGCAACTTGATCATCAAAACTATTAGGAATAAATCCAAATGTTTTCAAATAATTTATAAGTGCTTCTTTAATAGAACTATCCCGTTTTTCATTAAAAGAATCTATAGATGATTGTTGTAATAATGAAGTTGTTTGTTTTTCAATTTCTGAATTTATTCCTTGTAAATCTATTTTTAATTCCTCTAATTTTTGATGAACCAATTTATATTCATCAATGGAAATACCTATTCTATCCTTTTTCCAACTTGGATAATAATTATGTTTTTTGTCTATTCCAACTTTCATACATTGTTCAGATATCTTTTGTTTTAGTATTTGTCCATATTCTTTTGTAAAATTATCTTTTTGTTCTCGTGAAAGATTCATAAATGTATTATATGATTGGGAAATTCTATTTAAATCAACTCTGGTAAGTGTTTCATTCTTTGGAATATCAATATCAAAATTTTTCTTTAATCCTTCTATTAAAACTGGCTCAAATGAATTAATAACTTCATCTCCTATTTGTTTTTCAATGTCTTGAACTAATGAACCACAATTATTAGTTGAATACTTAGATGGATTAACTGATTCAGTTGGCATTAGAAAAATATCTTTAATATGAACATCAATACAATTATTGTCTTCTCGAGATACACACACTTGAATCATAATATTTTCATTAATAACTCTAAAATCTTTACAAACTCTTCCAAATATTCGTTGTTCTTTTAAAACAATAATTGATCCTTTTCTCATAATTCTCCATGACTCATATGAAGTCATTTTAATTCTTCCTCTTTGTGTGTATTTAATATTATTATCTGCAAGTTGTTCAAAGATACCGTGTGTTTGATTATATTTCTCTAAAATAGAAATTATTTGATCTTTGACTTTTAACCCAATTAAATGATTGTCTGGTTCATCAAGACAATCTTCATACCATGTCTTAATGACTAAGACATCATTAATATATTCATTTCGTTCTTTGTCTTCTTCAAAATTATACAATGCAGTTGATGCTTTCAATAATTTATCTGCCAAAACAGTATCAATACTAGTCCCCATCTTTTCTGTTCGTTCTCTTAAGATTTTAGCTAATAACGAACGATCCAATGTCACATTACCTCCATCTTTAAAAGTCATAATTTTAATTTTAAACCATTTCCCAAGTTCATTTTTTTCAACTGCTTCATCATAAGGATCCATTCTGTCAGACTTGAATGAATCTATTAAAAAATTAAATCTCTCTGTTTCATTTGAAACTACTGTCATTGTTATAATATTTTTACTTTTTTTCAAGATCCACTTTTATTTTTAGAATTACCCATTATTTAACAACTAAATTATTTGATGATTATTTCGTTGATTATATCCATTAATTCAATAAAAAAACAAACTCCTAAATAGACAAATATTCATTTGATGGATTAACAGATTGAAAGATTGATTAGAAATGAAAAGACAAGAAAAGATAAACAACAGTTGGCATTAATTTGATTTATGACAAATAACGTTTGAATATTTTATTTCTTATCTCAAACGTTAATAACATCTAGATAACAATTAAAACAGAATTACCAAATGAGCTTCAACAATTTCTAAATGATGTCCATCAACTTAGAGTTCAATTATTCCACATCCATACAGATATTAATGTACTGAATGAAAAGTTAATGCTTATTCAACTTGACGATACTGAAGAAGGTTCTGATCAAAGCAGTATCAAACAACTCATCAGTAAACTATGTAAAGAGTCAATGAAATTTGAAAAGGAAATTAAAGAAATGAAAAAGATAAATGACCTTTCAATGAACAGTTCATCAAATGAAACAATCAACCGAATTAAAAAAAATCATCTAAATTCATTAACTATCCAATTTGTTTCTTTGATGAGACAATACCAAACCATTCAATTAGATATAAAGTCATCACTTAAAATGAAAGTCATTAGAAAAATGAAAATTTGTTTGTTTTTCTCATTGTTTTAAGCACATTACTCAGTCATAGATAATCCATCTCTCAATGATAATGTGATTGAAGAGAGTATTGAAAAGAAAAATACTGACAACACCCTTGTCCAACAGCTCCAACAGAAAGAAGATCAAATTGCACTTAACTTTTTGGAAGAACGACATAGAGAGTTGTTGTCAATTAATGATGCTATTGAAGAAATTAATGGGATGTTTGTCAGTCTGGCTGTATTAATCGAAACACAAGGAGAGTTAATTAATTCAATAGAAGAGAATTGTAACTCAACAAAAGAATATACCAAACAAATAAATGAAGAGTTACAAAGAACGTATCATCTTAAAAAAAAATTAATAATAGTTTGTTATTTTTTAAAAAAGATTATTTAAAATAAATACTTAAGAAAACCATTAGAAAATAATTATTTTCACAATTTTCATTATGATTATTCTTGTTTTGATTCTTTGTATTATTGGAATTATAGTAGGAGTCTATCTAATGAAAAAGTCTACCATTTAACTAGAATTTATTTATCAGATGAATTACTTCACTTTTAAAAATTATGAGTATCATAACAAATAAACAACCAAAATCATTTAAAAATATCCAAGTTTCATTAGTTAATTCTTTGTGGGTTGAACTTGTACTTCTTGTTATCGCCGTTCAACATAACCATTCTCTTACTATAAAGATATCTAAGATAGGCTCTTCCTGATGGGAATTTCTTCTTTCCAGTATCTACTTTTTCTGGTTTCTTAGTTTGATTTCTGACTTTACCAGCTCTTGTTAAACCTCCGTGAACTTTTCCCATTGTTGACTCTTAACGACTTATTTTCAAGTGCTTATTTTTTTTCAAATTACCCTAAGGGTTATTTATTATATTTTGTTTTTTCTTTTACTATTACTTATTTTAGTTCATCCTTCAAAGAAACACAAAAACTACAAGAATAACAAAAAATGCTGACTTAAAGCTGAGTTGAAAGGGTAGTTTCTTGAATCACTTTAATTGCTTTGTCATTAAGAGAGTCAATAGCCTTACTTAATTCTTCAATAAGAGTAATACCATTAGAAAGTATTTTCTATAAATATAAGTATTATTTAATGAAATAAAAAAACAAAACAAACATTTGATGTAATATCATCATAAAGTATAAGAATACCATTATTCTGATCAATGATACCATTAATCTTTTCTTCAAGAATCATAATACTAATAACTTTTTCTACAGCATGAACTTCCATTCCAACTAATTTAGAAACATGAGATAATTCAATTGAAGAATATGGTTCAAGTACACGAGCAATATTTTCTTGAACTAATGCATCATAAAGAATAGTAAGGTTTTCTTTAACAAATTCATCTCCAAATAATTGATTATTAAATTTCTTTGATATTTCATCATACATTTCAATACTACGAGCATTAAATGCTTTAGACACTTCTTTAATAGAAACAATTTCAATATCATCAGAATATCCAATAGCATTTTTACTTGAAAGAACAGAGTCAATTTCATTAATTTTTTTTTGCATTAATTTCATTAAAATAAGGTATTTAAGTGCTGAAATTGTTTGTGTTTTTAATGATAATGAATGATAATTTTCAAATGCTTCATAGAAATAACTTGCTGCAGTAATATAGTCATGTTCTTCTCCATTAATAAATCCACTACAAATATCTAATTCTCCTTGAAGTGTTGGATTAATATAAATTGAATTAGCATCAACACGAGCACCTGTCATAGCACCACGTGCCTTAGTTAAATTTTTCACTTTTCTATGAACTTTAGCTTCTAATAATTGTAATTCAACAGCAAGAACTTTATCATCTGTTCTTTTTGCATTTTTTAATAATTCAGTAATTAATGGTAATGCTTTACTGCATTGTCCATTTTCATAATAATATTGAGCAAGTCGTTGTTCTAACTTTTGTCTTAAATAAGTTCTATTTGAAACTTTAGCCCATTCAATTGTTTGTTCACAAACAGAAATAAGTAAATGAGATGAGTTTGGTATTCCAGAAAGTGTATCAAGAATTTCAAATAAAGTTTTAACTATTTTTGCTTTACTCATTGTTTTGTCACCACAAATTTTTTGAACATAGTTATTTAATCCATTAATATCATTAGTACTGGAATAGTGTTTAATAGATGCAACTATTTCACTCATATTATTATTGAAGTTTTTTTATTTTTTTTAAGTTTTTAACTTTTTTAATTTTTTTTTTATTTATGTTATTCATAACAATAATATATTTCTTATAAATAACACAATTAAACTTCAGGAAGTTCAAAGTTCAAACTGGATTAAAGTACAAAATCAGAAATGAAAATTATAAAATTAGTGTATTTTTTTTTTTTATAAAATAAATAAGAGTATTAAACAATTATTAAATAATTACAGATTACATTATTTCATATTTAGATGACTTAACACGTACAAATGCTGATTTTTGAGAAGGACCTTTTGGGGGTTTCGTTTCGTTCTTTTCACTTTTGTCATCTGGAGTTCTATTAACTTTATTTTCTCTTAATTTTTTTCTATACTCTGGATGTAAATGAGAAAAGAACCTATTCTTTAATGAATTTGGTGTTCTTCCTTGAAATGATTTGCTCATTTCTGTCCATTTATTTCCTAATATTTTTTGTAAATCCATTAGCATTTGGTCTTCTTCTTTTGACCATGGTTTTTTAGCAATGCCATCACTAAGACAATTATAATATCTTTCTCTACATTGTTTCCTTGTTTTATTAGGTATACAATCAGCAACAGATTTCCAATTTTCTTTTCCATATTTCTTAATAGCATTTAATAATTTTTCATCATCATTTGATGTCCATGGTATAACTGATTTCTTACGTCTTTCTTGAAGACAACTATCTGATGATGAAATATCATCCATAGTCATACTTAATTTCTTTTTTTTTAAGTTCTTTCCATCTTTGACTTATATTATCCCGACAATTTACCAAAACACTGTTTTATGCCCTATATGAAGTTAAGTGGTCTTGATAACCTTTCAAAAGAACATTATGTCTTTTTTCTTTTTATCTTTTTCCCGATTTATTTCATACTTCTTCTTGTGTTATCCTTTTCATTTTTTCTTTCAACTTCATCATCTTTTTTTCATGTCCACGCAATTGAACATTTTCTTAAACTCTTCTTGATTAGAGTAATTTTGTCCAATCAATTTCTTAGTATTTTTAAGTTCTGCACACTATTTTTGTGTTTTTTGATTGCGCAATCAGAAAAATTTTTCTTTTCTATGTTTTATTTCGTGTTTTTAATAACATAATAAAAACAAAAATAATTTTTATGAAAAATGGTTTTGTTTTGAATAATTCCAACTTATTAATCTTCTTTATTAATCTTCTTTTTTATTTACTCATTTTCTTTAATTTATATTGTTTTCAAAGAGATAATCATTATTTTCTTTTTATTGTTAAACAAGAATAAAATCTCACTATATTATATTATGTTTTTCTCTTGTTTATAGAATCTATTTGTCTTATTATGTTTTGATAGAATAAAACATTTCTTAATCAATTCTGGTTGTGTAATTAGTCAATTTCTTATTAATCTCTGAAAAGATTCTGTTTCTTGGTGTTTCAGATTGATTCGTGATAACCTGTAAAAAAAGACTGACAAAGACTCTTATATTTGAGTTAATTCAAAATAATATCAATAAATGTTTTATACTCAAAAATTTCAAGACTATTTACAAACAACTCCACACAATAGTCTGACAAAAGTATAAAACAAGTTGTTATTCTGTTATAAAAGAATGTTTAGTAATTATTTTATGAAAACAAAAATATGAAAATAGAAATTATACATTCTATTATTTGTAAATGAATCTTCTTTCTATTTATAAACTTACTCTTCATTTATTTCTATTTCAGACTCATCTTCTTCAATATCAAATTCAATTTCTTCATCTGATTTATCATTATCTTCTTCCTTTTTTTGTTCTTCTTTTATTTCTTGAGTCTTTGACTCAGTAGGAATATCTAATTGTTTCATCATTTCATCAAAATCTAACCCTTTAAACTTTTCTTTATTTTCTGACTCTGACGTTTCATCTTCTTCATCTTCTTCTGTTGTTGACTCTTTACCTATGAAATCAATTAAATTCATTTCAACTGGTTGTTCTTTATTCTTTTCAGTAAATACTTCCTCATCAACATCTTCTTCTGTAATTGAAAACTCTAATGAAATGTCTGATGTTTCTTGTTCTTGACTTTCTGTATTTTCTTTCTGTATTTCTTGTTCTTCTTCTTTTTCAATTTGAGTTTTTGATTTGTTCTTATCCTCTTCAATACTATTTGATATTTCTTTTTGTGTTTCTGTTTTTTGTTGTTGGTTATCATCACTTTTAATTTCTTTAGTGTTTGTAGCTTGTGCATGAAGTATTTCTTCTATTTCCTCTTTAATGGTTGATTCTTCTGGTGATGAGTATTTGTCTTGTTCTTCAGACTTATTCGGTGATACACCCTGAATTTGTTTATCTTTTATTTCTGTATTAATTTGAGATTTAGCTTCTTGTTTATCTTCTTCTACCACTTTCAATTTCTCAATATCCTCATTTTCTCCAATAATTTCAGATGCTAAGTCAATTGCCTTCTTTAAAACATCATTAACCACTTCATTTTTTACCACTTCAGTTGTTGCTTCATTTTCATCTGATGGTTTTGTAACTTCTATATTTTCTGAGTGTTGTTGAAGCTCTTTCCATTTTCTCATTTCTTCTTCTCTTTGTTGTTTTCTTTGAAGCACAATCTCTTTAATCTTCTTTTCATCCTTATCAGTTTCCTCTTCTGTTTGTTTCTTCTTTTCTTCGTCTTCAATCAGGGTTAGTACATCAGTCATTTCGTCACTTTCTGGATCAATTAATAATTTTGTACTATATCCTTCTATCTTTTCTTCATTGACATTAACTGGTGGTATTTCTTCATTTTGTTTTTGTTGTGATGTACTTTCTGCCTTTGTTGTTGGGTCATTTGAAAGATATTTTTCATTAGATTGAATACACAATACTCTAATAGTTTCAATTGTTGATAGCCATAAATCTCTGTCTAGTTTATTTTTGCACTCAATCTCTCGTAATCCACATGATGTTAACAATATAATTTTCTTCTCATCACTTCGACTTATTCCAATTTTATGTATTTCATTTCCTGATAACTCTTCTATCTTTCCACTTCTATCCCAAATTCTGACTTTGTTATTGACAATTCTCCAATATTCTCTTCTTCCTTTCTCAATGACAACTCCTCCATGATAATCATATCTTGTGATCTTCATCTTGATTTTCTAGTTCAATGAAACAAGTTCCAAAGGGTGAAGAAGTTATTCTCCATGTCTATGACTTAATGGACAACACATACCTCTACCCTGTGGGTATGGGAGCTTATCACAGTGGTGTTTGTATCTTTGGTCGAGAATATTCATTTAGTGATGGTGGAATATTTGATACCCGTCCTAAAGACGTAGAGGCACCATTCAGAACATCAATCAATATGGGAATGTTTAGAGGAAGTTATAAAGACTTTCAGTATGTAGTTGATTCACTTCGTTCAGAATTTGCACCTGGAACATATAATTTGTATAATAAGAATTGTAATTGTTTTTCAAATGCACTTTGTTTGAAATTAGTACAACAACCTATTCCAACATGGGTCAATAGAATGGCTTGGTATGGAAGTCAATTTGAGAAGTTCTTTGGAGCAGGTCCTCAAACTCAACAAACTAGTCCAATTCAACAAACACCAACTAACCATTCTACCTCTCAAATTCAATCTTCTGGACATAAACTATCAGAAACGCCTTCATCACTTCCTAGTGACCCTAAAGAACGAAGACAAATGATTATAGAACAATACAAGAAAACAGTAACAAAATAAGATCAATTGAATTATTTTTTACATGAAGAGGCTAAATAATTAGGAATAATAAATGCAAGAAGATAAAATGACACTAAAAACAACAAATAATATCTTTTAAAGAATGAACGTTCATCATCTATATTTTTTGTTGCAACTAATAAAGTAATTGATGTATTTGTATATGCAGATAAAGTAATTGTTGTTGCTTGATTAGTTAATACAATATCAATCCAAGTATGATTCCAGCCTTGAAAAGAAGAGAAAAAAATATTATTATAAGGTAAGATAGAAAAAATAAAGGGATATTCAAGATACTTTGAGTCAAATGAAGGACCATCACTTTCAAATAAAAAGGAAGTAGAGTTAATAGCGAATAAATAATATTTTGAAGAAGTATTTTCATTTGTAATGTTCATTCGATTTTCATTTGAAACAGCAATAATATCCATAGGTTCAAAACGATGAATTGTATTTCCTGTTTCTTTTTGAACTTTCATTCCACTAATTGTCCATTTTCCATCAATTAATAATAAAGGAATACTTGCTGAAACACAAGAAAATAGAAAGATAAGAAGAGTAATCATAAACAACAAGTAACAAATCATTTTCTAAGTTTGTTTTAATACAAAAAATAAAATTTTAAACCACAAAAAAAAGAAAGATTAAATAATTGAAAGATGCAAATAGAATTTGCAGCTTATGACTGTGAATTACAACACTTAATTTTTGGATCAAATCCAATATTACAAGGGGGTTGTACTATGTATGAAACAATGAAAGGAGTTATAGGAGAAGAAGTTTGTTCATTAAGACTAAGAAATGCACAAGGTTTAAAAACAGATTGTATTTTTACTTCTCTTGACGGTGGATTAATGCTTGGTGCATGTGGACCATTAGAAATAATACCAGATGTATTATCAATATTGAAACAATCAATAACAATGAGATATGGTTGTTATAAATCACTTAAACCAATAATAGAATGTGAATGTGAAGACCCTGGCAAAGCAGCTAAAATCAGAGCCGCTTCACTCTTAAACAACCCCACATTTCTTCCTATTATTCATTCTATTTCTTCTCATATCTCTTCATGCACACCTATTCTTTCACCAACACATCCTCTCTTTAATCCTAGAATTCCATATCGTTCACCAACAATAGCATCATTTACTAATTCAATGAGATATATTAGTAAACGTGTACTTGATAATGCATTACTTGGAGCAGCATTATATGTGAATAAAGAGAATTATATTACCATTGCATCAACATTACCAAGTGACATTGATCCAATAGTTCGTCTTGTTTCATTAGCATTGTCTAGTGAAACTATGGCAAGAAAAACTACAGTATCTCAAATTTATTTAACGATTTCACAACTTAACGCATTAACTGCATCATCAGTAGTTGTTGGAAAACAAAATTATGATAAAATCAAAACCACATTACATGATTCACCAATAATTTGTGATGAATGTCAATTAAAAAAAGTGAATATTGTAGTAACAGTGAATAAAGGATTTGTAATGGTAGAATTAGCTTGTTGGGATATTACACCAGAATACCTTGAACGTTCTGAAACAGAAAATCTTGCAGGAATGGAAGGACTAAGTTCAATCTTTCAAATGGAAGGAAGAAAAACAGATTTAATGAGACTAAGAATAGACTATGATACATTAATGGTTGAACCAAGTAAGTTATGGGCAAGTAATGTTAATGAACAATTACTAAAATGCATTAATATGGAAAAAATAAATTATTTGGAAGGAATAGATAATACAATTGTTGTTCCAGAAAATGAAAATGAATGTTATTATTGTTCACAAAGTCCAAATGAATTAAATGCAATAAAAGTTAGTTTTAATGAAATTGATAAAAAAACTTATTAATTATATTTCTTCTTTTCTTTTTTTTGTCGTTTCATTTATTTCAATATTAAAATCTTATGAATATTAAATTATTATCATTAAGAAGATAAATTATTTTTAATCCTTTCTTTTTTTTTCTTTTCTTTTGAATCAGATTTTTTATTGTTGTTATCAAATTTACTTGTATATGACGTTGTTTTTATATTATTTATCTTTTTTCTTTTAAATGATTTTCTACGTTTTATTTTTTATTCTTAATACTTCTATAATACAATACATTACTAATGACTTTGTCATATTCTTAAAACATTATGTTTATTTACTAAGTCTTTTCTACATCATTTCTTCTTTCTATGCTTTCATTTTTTATTTTCATTATTAATTCAGTCGTTATTCAACGTACTTTCTATTTAATGAACAACAATAACTTTCCCTCATCAGATCGTTTTGTTCTATATTTCCATGAATCTTGATTTTTAATAACCAGTTAAGCGTTAAGATAAAACTTTTGTTGTGTAAAAGTAACAAAATTTTGTAAAAGTCAAAGAACGGAACTGATACTAATGACCAAAAAAATTCATCATTCAATAAGAAATGTGAGTTTTTCAAGGAAAAGAGCATCAAAACATAATAAGAATGAAAGATTAAACAAGAGAAAATAAGTTATAATAAAAATCAAATGTGAATATAAAAGAACAGTAAATAGTTTTTCACAGTAAAATAAATAAAAAAAAAAGAATAAAGAAATAAAAAAAATTATTTAATATAATGAGGAATGACAAATAAAAAACTGAATCAAAGTGGGATTGTAAACTTCTTCTTGAAATTAATGAACTATCTTTTAATTAATATCACATGGAATTTGGACAAACAATCCTCCCAATTCAACCCCTTCGTTTAGAACAACCTGATATTATCACAGAAGAAGAAAGTAATGATAAAGATGTTGTGTTTAGATCATTTGATTCAAATAAAACTAACAAATTAACAAAACAGGAGAAGGATGAAATTCTGATTAAAGAAATAACAATGAAAAGAAAAGACAAAAATTCAGAAAAGAAACCAAAGAAAAAACAAAAGACTACAATTAAAAGTTCATTAGAAAGTTGTGGTGTATTAAAGAATTATAATATGCCATTAACACAAGATAATATTTCTAATATTAATCATATATTTCCAGTTAATAAATATATTCGCATTAGACAATGGATTAATCTTAATAATAAAGATTGTTTATATCCATATCCTTTTCTTTCAATGTAATAATTATTTAATTTGCATTCTCAACAATAAAATTCAATTCAAGAAAGTCAGTTTGTATTGTTTATTATTTTGGTTTTATTTTAATTCATTAATACTTAAAAAAAAAAAAAACAAAAATTAAATTTGGGGTTTGATAAAAAAAATGTCATTTAATAGACCCATAATTAATATTATTATCTTTATACTTGATGCATGTAGTTTAAAAGAAATAAAATAATGTTATGATTAAAACTGATGACGAGACTGATATATTATTCTCTTCGTTTTGAAGAGAAATAAATATAATTGATGTCATTGGCTATATGAACAATCTTTTTGACTCAAGACTCAAAAAGGATATTGTTCTTCCAGAATAGAAAAGGATAAGAAGTATAATTAAATAATAAAATAACTAGAAGATATAGTAAAGGAGAAAGAAACTAGAAGATAAATAGAAAGAACTATATAAAAGAAAGAAAAAAAAGGGAAATCTACAAAATCAAACTGAAACCTAACTAATGACTAAGTTATACATTGGAAACCTCAGCTACAAGACTACTGAAGAGAATCTTAAAACCCACTTTGAGTCATTTGGTAAGATCAAAGAAGCTAAACTTATGATCTTCAGAGGATACTCAAGAGGATTTGCTTTTGTTGAATATGAAACAGAAGAAGATGCTAAGAAGGCTGTAGCTGCTAATGGAGTTGAGTTTGAAGGAAGAAAACTTAAAGTTGAAATTGCTAGACCACCAAAGGAAAGAAAAGAAGTTCCTGAAGGAGAAAAGAAGACTACTGCAGGACCACGTGGATATAGACCAAGAAGATTTGGACCAAGAAGATTCACTAGAAAACACTTTGGAAAGAAGACTAATGGAAGCAGAGTTAATAAGAAGGAAAAGAAAGAAGTACCAACAGAATTTTCAGATAACCTTATCTTTGTTAAGAATCTTGCATATGCTATTAAGGATGAAGATCTTAAAGAAATATTCAAAGAATTTAATGTTGTAAGTGCTAAAGTTGTTACCTACAATCATAGAGGAAATGTAAGATCAAAGGGATACGGATTTGTTGAAGTTAAATCTGCTGAAGATCAAAAGGCTGCAGTTGAAAAGTTGAACGGAACCACTCAAAAAGAAAGAGCTATTGGAGTTTTCAAAGCTTATAAGAAACAAGAGCAAAAAGAAGAAACTCCAGTTACTAAAGCCTAATTTTTTGATTTTATTTCGTTTTTTTTAGGGTTTATTTAATAAACAAAAAACGAATTTCTATTAATTTGTATTTGAAGTTTTGATTGAAATAAACATATGAAGAAAACATCTGAGTTTAAACAATATAATGGTGGTATTTTTGTTACTCAATTCACATTAAATGGAAAATACATTGTCAGTGGTGGTGATAAAAGAGTTATTCGATTACATAACACTGAGAGTAAAAAACTTATTAAAACATATTCTTCTCCTTGTAAGGAAGTACTTGATATTAAAATAACAAGAGATAATGGAACTATAATTTGTTGTGGAAATGACACTAATGTCTATTCTATTGATGTTGTGACAAGTTCAGTATTAAGAAAATATGGAAAACATGAAGCAAAAATTAATTGTATTGAATTTAATAATCAGTACAATGTCATTGCATCAGGTTCATTTGATATGAAAGTCAAATTATGGGATTTAGGTTCAAAATCAAATACTCCTCTTATGTCATTAAATCAAGCAAAAGATTCTATCACTTCTATAAAGATAGAAGATACTCAATTATTTACAACGTTTGTTAATTTTATTCTTTTGAATCACAAAGAATTTATTCATTTAAAAGATCTATGGATGGATTTATTAGAGTTTATGACTTAAGAAAAGGATTAGTTGTGTCTGATGATATTAAAAAGCCATTGACATCTTTATCAATAATTAATTCTACAACGGTTGCATTATCTAGTATAGAAGATTCATCAATTAATATTTATAATAGAAAAGATATGAAGATAATTCACACATATAATACTCATCTTAATAAAAGGATTAGAATTAATAATGAAATATCTCTTGATAAAAAAATAGTGTTTACTGGAGATGAAACAGGTAAAATCTATCAATATAATTTCATAAATCAAAATCAGAGTTATATAGAAGTATCAAAATCAATTATTGGATGTATTTCAATGAATCCTACTAAACAACAAATTGTTTATGGTAGTTTTGATGGTAAAATGGGATTATTGGATTATTAAAAAATTTAATTATCATCTGTCTGAATAATTATGGAAACAATATTTTTGTTTTCTTTCTTCTGTATTTTTAATCTACTTTTTTCATTAATAATAATTCCTATGTTTTGGTTTATTGGAATAATATTAAATTCATTAATACATACTGCTTTTGAAATTAACCATCCACTAATAATTTCTCCATTCACAGTAATATCAATACAATCACCTGTATGTAATAAATCATTTCTAGTTATCATTTTTGTACCATTATAAGCATCATTAAAAGAGTCATATTTAATTGTATATCCACTAATATCTTCAATCTTCTTTAATAACATTGTTAATGGATATTCTTTAATTGGATTGTTTGTTGTTTCTTTTTGAATTCTGATAATATTATCATATTTTTCAGCAATACAATTGAGATATTTTTCAAATGCTTGTTTTACCGCAACACACCACTCTTCTTGATCAATGGTAAAGCAAGTATTAAATGAAATATCAAAGTTAATGTTTTTGTCTATTTCTTTTTTTATTGGATTATTATTTGTTACAATAAACAATTCTTTTTCTGATAAAGGAAGTTGAATTGCAAGGTTAATATTATTTTGAAGAGGAATTATTTGGTCTTCTTGTATCTGTGTTTTTGAATGTATTGAATAATATAATGTTTGAAGGGTATATTCATATCCTTGGATTGTATCAATGGGTGGAACACTTATTACTTTATCTCCTTGGAGGTTGTTGGTTATTTCATCACTGATAGCATTTCCATTAACGATGTCAAGTTGTACTTCATTCCCTTCATTTTTAACTTCATTTGTTCCAAATCCTAAAATGTTTTTGAAGAAATTCATTTTTTGTGTTTTTTTTTTCTAAGTTCTTTCTTTTTGTTTTTTAGAAAAATAAATTCACTTCAAAAGTGTTGAAAGTTTTATTATATGATTTTCAATTAATAACTTTTTGAATATTCAATGATGAATATGAAATTTAAATAATGTCTATATCTATATGAATAGAAAACACACAATTCAATAATTATTATTGAATACCTACAAAATAAGAAATTATGTTATGTTATTCAAGAAATAAATGATTAATTCAATAACAATAATAATTTATCATTTATAATACCATTATTGATGATCAATAATCATAAAAAGAATGAGTTAATTATTAATGAAGAACTATCTGTTTATTCAAGTGTGACAATACAATAAATTGAAATTTATTTATTTTCTCACACTAAGAAATAACAATTTGATTAAACAATTATCATTAATAATGATGTGTTTCTTCTATTTTCAATTAGTTTTATTAAGAACAATTTGTGATACTCAATATATCTCTCAATACAATTTATTAATTTAAACATTGACATTAATATTATTTCATTATTTTATTTTTCATATCTATTGTTATATTGTCATTATGATATAATACTAAAATAATTTTATTTCTTATGTTGTTAAACGAATTTATTATAGAGACAGTTCTTTGTATATTATGAAAATAATTTGTATTTTTTTTTACTTCTTTATTAAACAATTAAATGATATAACATATGTACAACATCTAAACTGATTTTGAAATTATTTGTATATTTTCTATCACATTATATTTTTATGAAATTCTTTTTCTTTCATTTTTTATATCATAAACTTTGTTGTTTATCTTTTTGTTTATTATTTATGTTGATTCTCTTCATTTTTTGCTTTGTCTCGTCTAATTAATGTCGTTTTGAAGTTATAAACCATCATTTTTCAATATTGGATGTATTTATTTTTATCTTTAATATAAAGAGAATAAGAGAAATAACATACATTGAGAATTAAAAATGTTTTTAAAAGATATTGGTTCAAGATGCACAGTTATTGTTTGAAGTTGAGATATAAAAACAATGAAATAACACATTAAAACTATTTGAGAGTTATATCTGAATGAATAACTGTAATGAGAAAAAAGAGAAAAACTCATTGTATATTGATGCAAACGTGTTTATACTTACAATAACTCTCTAAACACAATTTCATTTAATACTCAAGAATATTTATATAAATTATTCATTTTTATAACAAGAAGTAAATAAAGTGTAGTAGAATAATACATATTCACCAAGAAGAAGCTATCAAGTTTGTTGAAAGTAATTTCAGAGAGAAAAGAGTTTTTTGTTATTAAGTTATAAATATAACATTTTTGTGTTTTTCAAATAGTAAAAGAAAAAAGAATAGAACTAAAAGATTCAAGAATAACTTGAAAATGGAAGTACCAACTAAAGAACAAGTGTTTGAGAAGTATATGAAATTACTTGAAAAGAAAGGATATCTCAAAGATGTTCCAGAAGAAGAAAAAGAGGAAAAGGTAAATAAAGCCAAAAAGTATTTTGAAGAGCATTATAATAGTTTAGAAAGATTTCCAGCTGTTAAAATACCAAAAACAAATGAAGAAGTTACAGAAGAAAAGAAGAATGAAGCTGAATCTCATAAAGCAAAGGGAAATGACTTATTCACTAAAAAGGACTATGCCACTGCTATTTGTGAATATTCAAGGGCAATTGAATGTGACCCATTTAACCATATTTATTATTCAAACAGATCAGCTTGTTATTGTTATTTAAATAATGATGAATTAGCTGTTAGAGATGGAGAGAAATGTGTTGAATTGTGTCCAACATTTGCTAAGGGATATAGTAGATTGTCAGCAGCGTTAATGAAAATGGGGAAACTTCAAGAAGCAAAAGAAGCCATTGACAAAGCCTTGAGTATTGAACCAGAGAACCAAAACTATTTAAATAGTAAAATGGATATTTTAGATGAATTAAGTAAAGTTGGAGTGAAAGAAGAAGTGAAAGAAAAGCCTAAAGAAGAAACAACTGAAACACAAAACCAACCAAGACAAGAACCAAATCAACAACAAGGAGGATTTGCTAGTTTATTAAATAATTTAATGAGTAATCCAGCTATTCAACAAATGGCACAAAGTATGATGAGTAATCCTGCAATGATGAATATGGCACAAAGCATGATGAATAATCCTGCAATGATGAATATGGCACAAAATATGATGTCAGGTCAAGGGTCTATGAGTGATTTATTAAATAATCCACAACTAAGACATATGGCACAACAAATGGCAAATACACAACAACAACAATCAGAAGAAAATAAACCAAATCAAAATGAAGAGATATAATTCAAAGAAAAACAATGAAATTGAATTAATTTGTGTCATTATATAGTTCTTGTAATAAATTAAGAATTTTTGGAATATCTTCAGGAGTTAATTCTTGTAAAGGAATATTTTGATAGTATTGTAATAAGAAATCATCACTATTTGATTTTGATTTTTGGTCAATGAGTTGTTGAATCTTTTGTAATGATAATTTTTGAGGAATAACTAAGCCAGTCTTTGGAATTGTCCATCTTTGAGATGATATAGTTTGGACAATTAATTTTTCATATTCTTGTTGTGAGATAGATTCTTTTAATGAATTATAACATAACGTTTGAACAAAATCTTTACAAGCCATAAAATTACAATAATAATATGACAATTCACTGTTTATTTGCATTTGCATTTCTTCAATATAATAAATTGTAGAATCAAAATATGGTAATTGAGCTTTTATTGTTAAAAACAGACATAATGGAAATAATAAATCAGCAGTCACATTTGTTTTTTGATAAAATCGAATCATTTGTTCTAATATTTTAAATGAAGAAAATATATACATTACTTTTTCTAATGGAGTACATACAGAGTCTATTTTCAATAATAATGTTAATGCACTTTTCATTCCAATTTCATTTAATTGTATTTCTGTACCAACATGTTTTGGTTGAATAAATGAATGTGTTCTTGACAAACAAAAACAAATATCATCCCCATCAATTTGTTGTATACATTGACCTTCTTTTAATGCAATCATTGGAGGCCAAAGATATTTAAAAAGTTTATTAATTAATAACCTATTCATATTATTTATGAATGCATCTTCATTCCATCCATTCTTCCATATTTCTATTTCTTGTGCTTTTTGACATAAAATTTTAATACATCCATTAATATATCCTTTGCGTTTCTTAATTGGTTTATTAATAATCAATTCATTAAATCTATTCACAAAATTATCAATAATTTGAAATAGTCCATTACTTTCACTTAAACTTAATTTCATAAAAAACAATTTCATGTCTTCTTCTTGTTCAATCATTGATTTCTTCATTTCTCCCTCAAACTCCCAATGAAAATATTTTTGACCTGTGTCTTTTTCAATTTTACTAAGAGTTGGAATACTTCTTCTAATATTATCTAAAGCTACTTGTAATTCATTATAAATAGTAAATTCATTTTTCTCTCTAAATGTCATATTGAATCCCCTTCTCCATCCCCAACAACATGAGTCAAAATAAAATACTGATTTAGTGATAAGTACAGGTAATACATATGCTTTGTCAATAATAATATCATCATTCATTATTTTTGCACTTGACACAGCAGAAGCATTAAGATCATGGAATGATATCATTCTATCAGATAAGTCACGTTGACTTAAACGAGAAATAGAGGCTTGATGAAATGGATATAATTTAGCATGTGACTTATCAACTTTCCCATAAATACCATTTAATGTAATAAAATTTCCATTAGAAACATTTAAATATGCTGAATGACAAAGAAAGAATTGAAGAGTTAATGGAATGTCTTGTAATACATTTGCTTGAGGGAGAAATAATACAGCATGTGTTTGTATTAAATATTGAAGAAAGTCATAATACTTTTTAGAGAGAAAAGTATAAACACGATTAATTTGAGAAGAAGAAGAAGAGGATTCTTTATTATGAATGTAACGAGCTAATTCACTGTGGTTTTTTAACCATGAAATCATCTTTAGGTTCAGAGAAAAACTGACAACATTAATTTTTGGAAGAAAGTTTTAGTTTTCTTTTTTTTTTTTAAGGGGAAATTTAAAAGTGGAAGGAAAAATCAGATTTTATTAATCTTTAAATAGTTGATTGATCTCATTAATGATAGAATGATTAGTTTATTGTGGCTTGCAATTGGCATCGTTAGTGCACTTACAGCAGATGATGTCTTGAATAAAACTAGTTATGTTGTTGCTATGACATCAGATAATAACAATTATGTTTATTATATTGTTAAATCAGTTGTTAATGGTATAGAAACAAATACATTATATCAAACAAGTGTTCAAAATGAAGGGAAATATTTCATTGAACTTGCTCAAGGAGTTGGAAATGAATTATACTACAGTGTTGCACATCATTCCATATTTTACACTAAATGTGATGGTATTTGTTCATTATATTCACTCGATTCAAATATGCAAGAGTATCAAGTAACTAAGGACATTGCTGTTTCATTACCTGTTATTATTAAAGAACATCTTTATTTTGTTTCACCTATATTCTTTGGAATGACTGTTCAAGACTCATTAGATCTTCAAAAGAAATTAGCAAATAGAAAACAAACTTCTCATCATGTTTTTACACAAACACCATTTGGAGAAGGGTCATCTTATGTTACAACAAATGACGATGGTACTCCACAATATAAACATTTAATTTCATCAGCAATTACTGTAGATGAAAATGGAAGAATTATTGTTGGACAATATACAGATGTTTCAAATGAAGTAGGAAATGTTATTTCATATGATATTAGTGATGATGAATCAATAGTTGTTTTTGAGGCTAAATCAACAGCATCAGCAAGTGATAAAAAGAATTATTTGAAATCATCAATCTATACAATTTCTGTTGGATCTGATCAAGCAACATGTATTTCATGTAATTATCCTGGAAATCAAATTGAACCAAAAGCAACAAAAACAGGAAAGTATATTGTCTTTATGAGAACTACAAATACACTTGAGAAAAATCCAGCTAAGTATTTTGTTTTATATGATCTTGAAGATGGTTCATATAGAGCTGATGTTACTCTTAATGAATTTACTACAGAAAAGTATTTAATTGGTAAACATAGTAATGAGGAAACAATTACAGTATTTGTAATCAATAATAGAAGAGAGGCATTAGCTGTAAGAAAAGCTGTATATTCATTTGAATCAAAGGCATGGAATATTGAAGAGGTTGTTGTTGAAGGAGCTGTAGAAATGATGGCTGAAGTTCCATGTCAAGATGAGAGTTCATGTTTATTCATTGCACAATCATTCCAATACCAACCAAGTGAAATTTATTATTGTGATGAAGCAATGAAACTAACCAAATTAACCAAATTAAATGATTATACTTCTTATAACCTTCAAAAACCAATTCTTGTTAATCCAATGGGATCATTACATGACAGAATTCAATCATTACTCTATCTTCCATCAAATAATGAAAAGGCACCAATTCTTTTAGTTGTTCATGAAGAAGAAGAAGGAACTGTTGTTGATGGGTTTAATAAAATTATGAATCCATATGTTTATACAAATGAAGGATATGCTGTTGTAATGATTAACTCACATGTCAGTAAAGGATTTGGAGAACGTATGAGAGTTAAAGGGTCAAATGATATTAATGTTATTATTGAGGACATTCAAGCTGTTATCAATGAATTAGAAAAATATCCAGTAGACACTTCTAAAATTGCAGTTGTTGGAGTTTTTGGAGCATCAAAAATTATTACTGGCTTATTAGATGCTAAATTACCCATTGTTTTAGCTGCAGTTCATGCACCAATTCTTTCAATTCGATCACAATATTATACTGATGCCAAATATACATTAGAATATACATTTGAAGGAGCAGATTATGACAATTCTTATTGGTATAGTCATAATGATGCTATGAAAAATGTAGCATCATATAATGTTCCAACACTTATTTCATATGGTGATCTTGATTTTGTTGTTGATAAATCACAACCAATTTCATTATTCCAAGCATTACAACGTAGAGGAATCAAGTCTAGACTTCTTAGATTCCCATATTCTACAAATGTATTAACAAAGAATGAAGATATTAAAGTGTTCTATGAACAATACATACGATGGTTTAATGAGAATATGAAGAATTAAAGTAATGAACAATTTAATTAAATTTTTTTAAAACAAAGAAAAGTAATTTTTAAAATTTAAAAATCAAAATAAAAGTTAAAAAAAAAAAGAAAAATAACTAAAAAAAAGAAAGAACTTGTTATTATATTTTATTGAATATGTTTGCATTACTTCTTTTTATTGCTTGTATAAATGCACAACCATTTATGAATATGTATGGACAACAACTCCCATATGCAGAAGAACAAGACGCCTTCAGAGCTGAACAAGTACTTCATGGATTAAATATGAAATATATGCAACTTCGTGATGAACTTTATAGAACAACATTTAGATTAAGAGGAACTCAAAGAAGAAGATATTTCTCATCATCTCCAATTGAACTTTATGGATCAGAACACACAGTCCAATTCCTCAAACTTAAAGAATTTAGATTACGTAGAACTATTGCTATCATTCTCAAACAAATGGCTACAGTTCTTACTTCAATTAATAAAAATGATAGAAATATGGTTGTTATGCATTTAGGTCTTCCAATGTCAACTATTAATGCTATGAAACAAGCTATCAAAGCTAAAGTACCAGAAGTTCCTCAAGACATTCCATTAGTTGGACCTCAAACTCCATTTGGGTTTAGACCATATTATTAAATGTTATTGAACCGTTTAAATCATTTAGTTAAATTTTATTTTTTATTTTATTATGAAGAAGATAAGACAATAATAAAAGAAATTTAAACAATAATGTAGAATGACTAAAAAACCAATTAACTATTTGTAATTGAAGTTCTTTTTATTTTATTTTGTTTAGCAGTATTAATTGCTTTTCTAAGTTGTTCTGATAAAAATTCAGTATCTTTTAATTTATTACATGTAATTTCAATTGTAGTATTTGTTGAAGGCTTAAAGAATTGAATTTTTTCATTAATTATTTCAAGGACTTTCCAATCACATAAAGTATATACCTCTTTTATTTTCCATTTTTCTTTTTCAGTTGATTTTGCAGTATTTCTTGTTAATACAGCAATATCATTAAAAATAACCATTGTCCAAACTGTAGCATTTTTCTTTTCACTAACTAAAACTTGTCCCATTTCAGCAAAATAATCACGTTGTGGATTAGGATAATCAGATAAATCAATTCGTTTATTCCATAAATCCATTGCTGTTTTATTTTCAAATTTTCTTTTATTTTCATTAATTTCATTAGCAATACTTCTGATTTTACTTAAACATGTTTTTATCTTTTTAGTTTCATCTAAATATTCTGGAAGACATTTAAGTAATGACTCTAATAACAAAACATAACGTGGAATTCTTTGAATTGGTTGAATTAAGAAACTTGGAACATAATGTCCTTTAGAACTTAATTCTTTAACAGCACATCCAACATCTACATCTGTTCTTGATAATTCATTAAATTTAGCCATTCCAATATCAACATTATTAGCATATTGACAATATAAATCAAGCATTGATGGTGTGAAATATTTTAATAAAATATCAGAAAAAGTAATAAACTCAAGTTTTTCTTCATTACAAAGAGATAAACATTTTTCTAATTCATTAGAAAATTTATGATGATATTTCTCTATGTCAATAATATTACCAAATACAATAGATGTATTTTCTTTTAAAACATTCCCTAATCTTTTCATTACTACACGACAACAAATACCCATTTGATTTGTATAACTAGTTTCAGTTTGAATAAACTCTTCTGTAATTTGTCTAGCTTTTGTTTTCTTAGAATTATATTCAGCCATTCTTTGAATATCAATAGGAGTATATTCAATTTCTTGTGTTTGTTTTTTCATTTCATTAAATGTTTTAACACAAACAACCCATAATGCTTTTCCTTTTGGTTGAAGTTCAATAGGATTAATTTGAAGAACAACTTTATCAACTTTAGTTAATATCATTTCTTTTCTTGCTTGGTCATTACTAAATAAATTTGTAATAATACCAAATAACATTGCTTGCATAACTTCTTGAAACTCTTTTACTGATAAAAGTAATTTAGATAATTTTGTTGCTAATTTCAATGAACTACATTTTTTTGCACCAACACGATCTTGTGTAATTCTAAAAATAATAAGTAATGATGGCATTAATGTACTTGCTGTACTTTTTCCAACATATGGATATTCTAATAAATCAAGACATTCTTCAAATAATCCACAATCAATACAACTACTTGCAAAAAATTCACAACTAGATAATTGACTAGCAACATTAATTGCACGTTCTAAAGTATTTTGATTATCTGTTCTACCAATGACGTCAGTTAATGTTTTCAAAAATCCTTCTTTAAATAATAATGTTTTACCATCTTGTTTATATTTTATAATTCTTAATATTATTTCTACTGCTCCTAGAAGTTCTTCATTTTGTGAATTTTCAAGTGATTGTTTTACCATAGAAAGTCCATCATTATCAAGATAAATTGATACACTTTCTGGTGAAACTAATACTTTTGTCATAAATGCTATAATACTTTGTCTATTATTTGGAAATACAGATGCATCATTAATTAAAATTGGAATGAATTGATGTGCTAAATCAGCTCTTTTAGTTGTTTCAATGAATGAGTCAAGAATAATTAAACAATTTTTAAAAATTAATTCATTTTCGCAATTTAATAAACCTTTTAATGAGTCTAATATTCTTTTATCATATTTTAAGAATAAAATAATATATTCAGCTTTTTTAGATAAAGCATTAACAATATATAATGCTGTTGTTAATGATGAAGAATCATCTGATTCAAGAAATTGTGTATATAATCTTGGATTAATTTGTATTAATATTTCACTAAATTTTGGATTATATAACCTATTTAGTATAAATGAAAGTCCTGTTTCTCTTTGCTCTGGATCTAAAATATATGAAATAACTTTGTCAGCTAATAATTTTGATTTTTCATCAAGTGTATTGTTTGGAATAATATATTTTTCTATTGACATTTCAATTTATTTTTTTTTAAGTTTATGAAATATAAGTTATCTTAGAAAAAAATTGTTTTGATTTTCATATGAACTTTTCTTGTTTTTATTATTTCTTCTCTTTTCTTTTTTATCATTTTATGTTTTTATTCCTTTTTTTTTTATGTTGTTTAAACTCTTTGTTAAAATGAAAATATTCACTTAGACACACCGCATAAATCTAATGTGGTTAAAACTACTCCTACTATTCCTATGATTATTCCTAATATCATAACAATTAATGCCATTATCTTTCTCCATCCATTAGTTAATTTATATGCAAAATATGCTGGAAAAACATACACAATCATAACTCCAAATGTAGCTCCATTATATGCTAATACAATTTCAATATCTTTTACTGCAACAGCAACAAGAATAACAAATGAAACTAAAACTAAACTCTCAGTAATTCTTCTAATTCCACTTTCTTTCCATCTATCAAAAATCATTACATCAAGTAATGATCGTTGTGCAAAATGAACTAATGGAAATGATGCTGCCATAATAAAACAAAATGCTATACATCCCCATACAATAAACTTATCATTTCGTGGGTATGAAATTAAAATATTTCCTTGTACATCTCTTCCCATTGATTTATATCCAAATATTCCAACTAATGCATATGCAATATAAGCAATCATTGTCGATGCTATTGAAATATATGTCAATTTCATTACTGATCGATTTTTTAATTCAACATAAAATCTAAACACATTGTAATGACAACAAAATGCTCCTGTCATAATAGGAAATCCTCTAAATGTTGACCAATTTATTACAAATGCCTTTACATCTGGTGAATAATATGTTGTAAAACTTTCTACAACAATGACAATAGCTGTATAAGTAACACACACTACTGCCCCTATTGAAAAATATTTTAATGCATCTAATGTTTTAGAAAAACTTAATGGATAGATAAGTATAAATGAGATAATTACAATAAGAAAAGAACGATCACTATAAAATGCATTGGTATTGAGAATATATGGTAAAAATCCTCCAAGAAATATAATATACCCAATACATGTTCCTGTAGTATAAAACATTGCTATCGCTTGAACTATTGTTGATAATAATTTACCTCCTATAACTTTTGATATTTCTTTATATGTTGCTTTCCCTGTAATTTCACAACTAATAGTAAGAAAATATATCGTTATAACTGATAAAATATATGCTCCTGTCATTAATATTAATCCTCCTCCCCATCCAGAATATAACATAGCAAATGGCATTGCAAGTGTTCCATTCCCAATAATTGTATTTGCAAGATTAAATATAGTTGCAATAATTCCTGATTCACCTTTCGCAAAAGGAGACATAATTGAATGGATCTTAGATCATTTCTTTTGATTTGGACCATTCCATTTTTTGTTCTTCTCTTTCTACCTTTTTATTATACTTTTATATTATTATTATACTCCATTCCTTCTTTTTTTTTCAGTTTAAACTTAAACCAAAAACTGTTTTCTTTATTAAACAAATAATAGATTTTTCTTATCAAAACTATTACTCCTTCCTTTATCTTACTCTTCATTCTTATTTTATTATATTTTATGGTGGGTTGTTATTATACAAATACCCTATTCTCATTTCATTAGAATATTTCATCTGAAATATATATTTTATTCTTGGTAATAGACACATTCAGGTTGTGTTATACTTTTACACACATAAATTATAGGAATCAAGAGGTAATATTTAGGATTGTTTAGATTAATAACATAATAGAATTTATTTGAATAAGGTTTAACTTGACAATAATTCATTTGACTCATTGTCATAAGTGGAATTAGACTATTAATGAAAAAGATTAGAAAAATGTATTTAGATGAAGTTAAGTATCTTTTTTTTTGATAGTTAAGAATAGTTATAAAATGAATATTTTACGAATAATCAATGATAATACGTTAATTTCTAATTGTTGTTTGACTCTTTTGAAATTATTTTAAAGATTAATTGAATTATTATTTTTCAAATACTCGATAAAAAATAACATGTTAAATCCAAATAGAACATACTTTATTTAATCGCTAATAACATTGTGTTCTTCACTTTTTCTCACCACTTCAGAAGGATTATTTGAGTGATAATAGGCACTAGTAGATCTTTCAGTAAATACACTGTTTTGATGACAATTGAATGATTGAATCTGTTGTTTTGGTTTAGGAACTTGGACATATTGATACATTGAATCAATCACCTTCATATACTTAGGAATACTATTATTATTATTATTATTATTAGTCTTAGTTGAATAGGAGTAAATAAAGATAACAAACGAAGAATTAAGAATATAAATTGGAATATCAACATACACATGATCTTCAACAAATTGAGATTTTACTCTGGATATATCCTTTGAGTATTTTTTCTGATAAGAGCCTAACCCCACAACAAGTAGTTTTGCTGGTGATGATGCAAATAATAGATAAAATGAATTTAAAAATGATAAACATTCTGTTGATAAATGATTTCCTTCTACAGAACAAATGACAATAATGGCACGATAACGATCAATATCAACAGAGCATGTTGTGATTGTTTCAAGTCTTTTTCTGAATGATCTAGTCTTTCTTATCAAATGATTATGAAATATTGAACGAACTTTATTTTTTGAATGAACAGGATTATAAATTGAAATCTACACATTAAGAATTTTTGTATAAGAATTTACCAAA